GGCCACTTGCAACTCTAAAATAATGTTCTGATTTTAATAAATTGGGTTCTTGTCGAATGTTATTCCCAAATAGCATGAAGGCCTTTGGTATCGAGCCTCTGATGTGAGACACTTCTGTAAATCCAGGCTTAAATAATAGATATTGGAGAAGGCTGCTCCGCTCTGAATTCTCAGCTTTGGTCTACAGGTGGCAGTGTGGCTCCGTGTCTCGGCACCTCTGACTGAATTTGACTTTGTCTGCTACTTTCTTGTGTTTATTCTCTCTCTCGCTCTCTCTCTCTCTCTCTCTCTCTCTCTCTCTCTCTCTCTCTCTCTCTCTCTCTCTCTCTCTTCTTCTCTCTATTTTTAAGATTAATAATTGAAGTCTTCTGTAATTTGTCTGTGGTTTACTGCAGCTTAAACTGTCCATAGCTGGTTTAACATTGAAACATTCTGACACCCCCCCCTTTGTGCAGGTAGTGCTGGTCATTTTTTAAGGCAAAACCCATGATACTGGCTGAAAGTACTGTATGTTTAACTTTTCATGTCAATAAAGAACATTTTTATATTTTGCGTTTCACTTAATATTTTGTCGCAATTATGGAACAGCCATACAATTCTGTAACGCATTCTTTGTATTACATTTTTCATTCAGTGTATGCATTTGTTTGAATAATGTTGTTGTAAAACAGTTACAATTGTAACTGCAATTACTCAACTGCAAGGAAAATGACTACATCTAGAAAGCAGACTATACTTCTTGCTGTGGTTGCAACATTGTTGATCAAAAAAATAACCATGCATTGTTCCTGTTATTGCCAATCAGCTGTTACTGGGCAGTAATAGGCATGTACTTTCATCCAATCATACGATGAAAAACAAACTAGGCCCCGCCTTCAATATTTTTCTCAATCATGTGAACCAATAGAATTCCCGAATTCTTGTTAATGATGTTCTTATCCACCAATAGGAGGCTTTCTCTGTATGCATTCATTCCCACCCTTCGAGTTCATGCCAGAGAGTTTCTTTATGGCGACTGGTTTGGTAAGTGGAAAACAGACTACTTTTATCGAATAAATAAACGGTTTAAACGTATTTTTAACGTTAGCGTCGTGTGATTGGTGTATTTGCTGTTCTAACTCGATGTTTTAGCGGGGTTGTCACGCCTGTATTTGATCTCCAATGACATGTTGTGCTCGACAATGTTTTTTTTCGCGATGACGCTTGTTGTTTTGGTGATAACAAGCCCAACCAAAAGCTCTTCTGTGTATAAAAAACATGTCATTCATTTGGTGAAATCTGCTTTGATTCGTGTAAAAGTCTCGTTTTAAAAGCCTCTCCGTGTTTTTGTGTCATTCATTTTGAACGGGGCAGTGAGGTTGCGTCATGCCTCAACTTGTTGACATTCTTTTGTTTACAGTGTTAGACCCGACAGCCTCTGGGTCTGAACACTACTGCTTTTGGGGAGTGGGGAACAGCAGGCCCAAATGCCAATCTCTCATCTCTCTTTTTGGACCTTTTAATACTTCTGAATCGTTATATTTACTGTAGCCTATGTTATTCGTGTCCGTGTTTACGAAGTCAAAGCGACGCTTGTCAGAGCGTGCAATGACGGTTGGAACGCACATATCCGTTAGTTCCTTCTTGTAAACTGAATCATTTGATCGTCACCTCTTTTTTGTACATATCTGTAACGATTTTTTACTTTGCATGTTGCTAAAAAACACATTGTTATATTAAAACTAATTTAATACTAAAGTATTTTCTTCTAAGCTCCAGTTTTCAAATCTTTAAAAGCCACTTTAACAGAGGAATTCCCTGCTATTTTTCACTTTTGCTACGCAGTTATGAATGAATGAGCTCTGGTACGCATGCGCCAAATCCCTTTAAGTTTATAAACAAGGCCTCCACGCAGCAGGTCACGTGACCAGCCGCAGTGGTATACTGTGTCGATTCAGAGACAAAGGATTCCCTAAAGGCTTCATACCTTCTCCATTTTAATCATGCAATATATGACATGTCTTGCTATGATAACAGACTGTCACAGCTGTTTATGTATTTGCGCGTTCAGAAACATTTGGCTACTGTGATAATGTTTTTTTAACCACTACATTGATCCGTTCAATTATGTCTTCCTGAAACCATATCACTATCAAAAACACACGTATTGCCATTCAGGCGTATGCGATCCTTTTTGAGTGGGTTAGTGATTATTTTTTAGGCAGCATTGTAAATAGGATTGGGCAGCAGTTTCACTTTAAATGTGAAAACTCACTTTTTTTCTCTCCCCTTTTTGTTTTGCATGAAATCAGCTGATGTTGCAGCATATGATGATGGAAGCTGAGTAAACAGACCTGCAGCCTGTTAAAGAGAGAGGAAACAGTAGAATATTGTGACAATGGACGAGTCTTTTGATCCACTCAAGTGCAACGAGGACCTGCCTTCCTCACCTGCATGCCACATGGAATATGGTAACATCCCAACACAGCAAAATCACATTTTACACTGGCCTTTTCCACATGTTAATAATCAGATTTGCGATTCATTTATGTTGTCCATTGGTTTGAGAATATTACGAATACAATCTGATTCCTGATTTTGAAATCTGGATTTATACTGATCTATATGGCATTAAGTCATCATCTTGGTATTTGGAAAAATAAACCGATATTATTTTTTAGACCAAACAACTAATCAAATATTCGAGAAAGGTATTGACAGATTTATACACAATGAAAATAAATGTTAGTCACAGTCCTGGGATCATGAATTTGATCATTGACTTCTCCCCAGATGACCTGCCGGAGCTGCAGGAGGTGGAGGAGGACCAGAGGTCTCTAGGGATATTTCAGGTTGGAGCAGGAGTGTCCCACCAGGAGCTCAGCAGCTCACCCAGCACCAACTGGCTGGCTGAGCTGGCTAACATTGCCACCAATCCTAAAACCTCCCTGCTAAAGAGCGCCCCCCTCAAGAGGTTTGTATTGTGGCAAGATAGTATGAAAAATCAAAAGTCTGATGAGCATATTCAGGGATATAAACACAGAGAAGTGTACAACCCCTGTAAAACATGATTACACTGCTTCCGCTGGGGGGTGCTCCACATAGCAGGACTGTCGAGTTAGTCACATCATTTAGAAAATGTGTTAAGAAATATCTTACGAAATTCTGTACATTTTTCAGCAATCAATAAAGTGAATAGCTTTCTGTCCCTGTCTTACTGTCTAAACCCTGCTTCTGCTGAACAACTGAATCACCTTGAGCTGTCTGTAGATTATTAAAAACACAAATATTAAGTATCAACAGTGACCAAATAAATGTGAATGATATTGTCTTTTTTTTCCAGATCATCACCAGTCCACATCAGTAATAGTTTACATTCCTACGCTCGCCCCCCATTAGCCAGCAGTGCCCCCATCCCGTCCAGAGGCTACCTCAGGGAGCGCAGGCGTGTCAGGGTAACCCTTCACTTCAGTCAACATTGTAAACTTAAGATTCAACCATAAATTGTGTATTACATGTAAGCTAATGTCATTTTTTCACGTTATTTTTTAATATACAATAGGCCAGCAGTGAGTCCGAATCTGGAGTTTTCTCAATGTCCTCCTCTTTTTCTGATGATGAAGACATGGCCTGGTCTCACTCCTGGCCCTCCACAGCCTGGCATTGCTTCCTTAAAGGTGAAAACACACACTCATTTACAAACAGTATTCCACCAGTGCATGCAGACACGTTCAAGTGAAACCTGAGCTTTTCTAAAGAACATCTGAGAATTATGACTCATAGCTTTACCAGAATCCACAGTCATTACAGTCATTAGTCGTGTTTTCTTCAATCTGTTTAATGTTTAAACGGTAATGTGCAAATGTAAGCCACAAACATTTTTATTTCAGACTTGAGAACATATTTATTTTCTATCTTTCATTGAAACTTGTCAGAACTGTTTGTGAACAGACCTGTAATTAGTACTGTAAAAAAGTACTGATTGCATTTGAACTGCGCTGCCCTCAAAGTTTGCTAATAATAACCAAAAATGAAATAAAAACTGTTTTGGACAGAAGCTTTAGAGGTTCTGACAACACTCTTGTATACACATAGTTCAATCCTCACTCTACAACTGCTACAAAAATGTGTAAAGAAATTCTGACCCCTGGTGTCCAAAGAGCAGTATTGCAATATTTTCCAGAATTCTCTTTTCTGTATCAACACTGCTTATTCATCATGTCACATTGTTGTGTTTTCATTCAGGAACTCGCCTGCGCTTCCACCGAGGTCCGAATGTGGAGTGGCAGGACGCGGATGAACTGGGGGATTCTGATGAGGACACAGACGATGAAACCATGAGGCCATCCTCCTTCTCTTTAAAGGTAGGCAACAAACCGTAAGCTATTTAACACGAATCGGCTGGAATAGTTTCCCGCTTTGTGCACCTCATGTTTAGTTTTCAGGGATGCAAACACATGTATGCTGAACAAAAGATTGTACTACCTGATTTCAAAAACATGCAATCTTTTTCCAATCACCTAAGCCCAATAGGCAACCTAAAAAATGCCGGACTGACAGATTATTGGATCCAAACACATTCTTACAGCTTAACACGAATAAAACTGAATTCCAATGTTGGCCCCCAAAAACAGCAGCAGGAAATGAATCCATACTTCGCAACCTTAAAGCCAGAGAGCAGGCACAAAACTAGAGATTCATCCTGGGTGTCAGACTTAATTTAGAAAATAACATCAGTCATTCAAAGATTATCAAGCTACTGCTTAAGAAATATTTCGAAAGTATTCGTTCAACATCTGATTGTTTACGCTTTAATGTTGAACCGATGACTGCAAAAGTCTTTTCACTGCATTATCAAAACATTCAACAGTTGAACTTCAACTCGTACAACATTAATAGTTCAGCTCCTCAGTTTATTTCGGACCTGCTCACAGACGATTCCCCATCAGCCCTCTCCGGTCTCCAGACTGTGCCGTTTAGGTT